AGTCTTCGATCTAATATTTCTAGAGGATATTAAGAAAGGTTATATTAAGATTCTACTTAGAGTATATACTAGAAATAGGTTCGAAGCTAAGTAAAACCTCTTAATAATTCTAGTCTATATTAATAAAATAGCTAGAGATAGCTATAAATACTTATTAAAATAATAATATCTAATAGTTAAGACTAATAGAGAGTTTAGCCTTAGATAGAAGTTTCTAAAGTAAATCTTTCTATTAATCTTAGGTTATTCTTTAGATTTAACGCTATATAGTTTAATAGGAAGAGAAACTAAGGATAAATAATAATAATTAGATTATTTGAAAAAGGGCTTAGAATTCGGGATACTTAATAGTTTAAAAAGGAAGCTATAAAGTAGTTATTATAGTAATTAACTATTACTTCTATAACTCTTAGATAACTAGCTAGGCTATTTAAAGGGAGTTCTTGGCCTAAGAAAGATTAGTCTATAAATTAAATAATAGCTATATAATATACTATATATTCTATAAGATATTAGATTATTAAATATTTAGTAGTACTTTAGCTTTTCTAGTATATACTCTGATTCTAGTAGCGTTAGAGACCTATTATCCTATTTTTAGTATAGATTAGATAATTTATAATCTTACTATATCGCTTATATAGGAGTTTTAGCTCTCCTATCACTAAATATATAACTTGATCAAAATATAACTATATATTAGTCTATTATAGACCCTTCTAGTTTATCTTCTTTATAGTATTATAAGAACCACTAATTTAGGTATTAAGCTACTAGTTTAAAAACTCTGCTTTATTTATACTATTAAAAATCATCTAGGTCTTTTTCCGATTATCGGATCGTTTTAGTATTAGTGATATAATAGAAGGGAGGCTTTGCTTAGTTTACTGGCTTTTTAGTGGTTCTAAGAGAGTATCGAGAAATTGATTAGAATAGAAAATAGATGACTTAAACCCCTTACTCTTAATAAGAGAGGGAGGGTATAAGGTAGATAACTAAGATATAGAAGAGATATAGTAATAGTATATTAAAATAAAGGATTTAAGATATAGAAAAATAATCTAAGGTAAATCATCGTAGATTCAGGGGAATATATAGGTCTAATACTTATTTCTTATTAGTAGGTAGGATTCAGCACTATCCTAATACTAAATTTTATAACTAATTAAAAGATACTCTACTATAATATATATAAAGCTTATTAGATAGTAAGAAATAGATTAATAGATTAACCTATAGGTTGATCTATTAACCTAAATAATTAGGTAAGAGTAATACCCTAAGACTTTTATTTTTATCCCCTAAAAATTTCAATCTAACCAGCCAACCTTTTTACGTAGGTATATTAGAACCGGGGCTATAAATAAACGCGTAGATAGATTAAAACCGGGGTTTTAAGTAATCGCGTAGATAGATTAAAACCCCAGTTCTAATAAAGGTAGAAAGACTACTATAAAAAGGTATATATTTTATTATATCTAGTAAAAAAGGGACTATATAACCTTTTTATAGTGAGAGACTCGAGATATAGAAAAATAATCTAAGATAAATTATTATAGATTTAGGGGAATATATAGGTCTAATACTTATTTCTTATTAGTAGATAGAATTCAGCACTATCCTAGTACTAAATTTTATAACTAATCAGAATAGGCTCTATTAATATATACAAAGTTTATTAGATAGTAAGAAATAGGTTAATAGATCAACCTATAGGTTAACCCGTTGACCTAAATAATTAGGTAAGAGTAATACCCCAAGATTTTTCTTTTTATCCCTAAAAAATTTCAACCTAACCAGCCAATATTATTATTTTATATAAATTCAGAAAAAATATTTAAAATAATTCTTTTATATAAATAAGACTATAATATACTTATATATTAATAAAGAAATATTAGATATTAGATTTATATCTATTTTATTGTTTCTAATATATATAGTTTATTTATATAAAAAGTAGAAGTACTACTATAGACTTTAAATATATATTTTTAGGTTTAGTATAAGAAATAGTTAACTAATATCTTCTTTTGCCTATATCTACCTATTATAAAATATAATTCTTACCTTAAAGTATTAAATTAATAAATTAATATATTATATATTCTAAATATATTATTACTATATAATATTCTTTTTATAAAGAGTTAGAATTATAAGTTATATTAGAACAAAAACAGTATTTAACAATAGTGTATTATTAAAAAAAGTAAGTAAATTATCTATCCTAATTAAGAAATTTATGCTAAAATAGGTCAAAAATAGGTTGACCCGTTAACCTACGGGTCAACCCATAGGCGGGTCAGGATTTTATTGACCCGACCCATGGGTCGTGGGTTTGGGTCATGGGTCAAGATCTTTGACCCATGGGACGGGTCTGTCCATGTCTAATCATGACTAGTATAGTTAATATTACTAAAGACTCTAAGACTACCTTAAGTTATATAACTATTAGAGCTTAGATAGTTAGATATAATTAAAGATTTATTTATTAGTAGTATATTCCTCTAAGCTTAATACACTTCTTACACCAAAGAAATCTTGTCTATTAAGACCTAGCAAGAGCAATAAGTTTATATAATACTTAGAGAGTAGTAAATATAGATACTAATTTTCTAATTATCTAGAATTAATATAAATAATAGGTATACTTATAATTACTCTATATATATTATAGAAAGATTATTAGTATAAGTTTCCTACACTTATAAGCCTCATATATAATATTCTTTTTAACTTATAAATAGTACTAGTATAGAGTGTCTTTTTAACTTAGCTTATAATATCTATCACTATTGTCAAGGCTTACTAAATACTAAAATAATCTAAGATCTAATAATATTTATATATATTTTAAGATTTAAGTTTAAGAAAAAATAGCTTATATTTATTAATAAATATCTCTTGAACAAAAAGATACTAAGCTTCCCTTAAATAATCTTTATCTAATTAGCAACGATAAAGAAGATAATATAATACCTAACTAGGCCTAGTCTACTATATAGGCCCCTAGTAAATATACCCTAGGTAAGAGATAATAGAGTATTATCTCTAAACCAGAGAAGAATAATACTAGGGCTTTACCCTTACTAGATATCTAGCAATATATATCAGGAAGAGTTCGGAAGCGTTCTAGACTTTTTAGGTAGATATAAAGTTAGTTAGCAATAATTTTACAATCCATATTTATTTTAAATAAGCCTTTTATATGTTTAATTCAATATCATTCGATAAAACCTTGGTTTGGGTAGAGTATATAGGATTTGATATAAGCCAAAAACATAAAGATACAGCTAAAAACCGCATAAAATATGCAAGTCATGGGCTTCCCTATCTTTGTCTTGTTTGATAACCCGTGGGTTATGGCGAGGTCTAGCCATATCTCGGACATGAGACTGCCGGGGCGCTGCGCCACGCGAATCCATAGAAACCACCCATTTTAGAAGCGATTGCTCTTCTAAATTAGACAATTTATGGCTATTGGCGCGTATATTGGACCGATTTGTCGCGCCGGCGAGACGATCGCGGAGGGTAGAGCGAGAGACATTGAATTGGGTGTTTTGAATAGCTTCAATAGCTAAGAAGACCTTGCCCTCCTGCTCAGTGGATTTTCTGGCTGATTGGGAGCGAATTGGTGGCATGGTGGGTGATTAAAGAGAGTGGGTGTGCGTCGGCGACGCGATTTTGGATGGGGTGCTCGCTTGTGGGTTACGTTAGGGTCAGATTCAAAAGGGCTACTGAACCATTCGCAAAGTGTGCACGGGACTGTTTTCTGCTTACCTTTACCAGTAGTCTCTGCCGATAGCTTCCCTATGTTAGCCCCTAAGCCCTCCATCAGGTATCAGCTTCAACCGCATCATATTAAGGGCCAAGAAGTACAACATTGAACTCAGAAAACGTTCCACATCGATTCTCCTGCTTGCTTGTCGCAGGATCACATCACACACATCAGCTATACCAGGTGATGCTACGTAGGGAGTCAGACTGAACTTCTCCACTCGTGCACTGACCCCATCTCGACGCCTTGACCATGCGTTATTGTGGAACCATCCACTTCGGGGGAAGAAGTACCGACTCACGCGGACATGAAGAACTTCGAGAGCATGTGAGGTCGGTTCATGTTCAGTGAGAGGGTTTTCGATGCATTTGCCCTCGCTACAGGGGGTGACATAGCAGGCCATAGCACGACCACATGAGGGATAACTCTCCCCATGTGCCCCTGCACGAGGACATCCAGTCTTCATGCATGCAACTCACACTAAAAAGCACAAATGACGGCATGGCGGATTCCTATCTATGAGTCGTTGCAGTGATGAGCACAGACTGCCTGGCCATATCACTTTAACCATGGAATCTCCACACCTTTTTCCCTTGAACAGGATTAATCTACATCTCTATTAATTCTTGACCATACGATCATCGATAAAATTAGTCGACTGTCAAAGATCCGTCAAGGAAAAGTCACCTGGGCAGTATAGCAAGCCCGAATAATGGTCCATCCAAGCAGGCAGAGGTTGCACGGAACTAACTCGTGCATTTAAGGTACCGGGCCAGGGAAGGCCACCGGGGCCGTCAATAAATGTGGCTGAAACTAAGCTGCAACAGGTGCATCATGCATAGTGTCACAAGTGTACGTACCTCTATCATTGGATGATACTATACATCCAGCCTTCCAAGGTTGTATAGATCTTACCCCGCATCAATCCATGGATCTTCGAGTTAAAAGAGAATCTTAATTTTACACTAAAGATGCCTCTCCTATCTCATCAAAATCATAATCTGTATCTATCTCGCTAACAGATATTTACAACGGTCGTAACATAATCAATAACGTAAATCAGTCAGGTCGTTATCCAGTCTATCCCCGTTTCAAATGTTTGAGCCCCCACAAATCGACCGATGCAATTGATAACCCCCAACAAACCCACTTCCCTCACTTACCCATCTCCCCTCTCCACACATATAATGCGAATCTCCACCCATAATATGGAACTCCTTCACCCCGCCCCAAACCACCACTTCACCAAATACGTAGCCAGAAAGCCCCCATTCATACATCCGCCCACAAAGCAAAATCCCAGCTTGAAGAACCGCGCACAGCTAGCCGGCACTGTCAAATCAACGGTAACAAGCAGCACAGTCAACGCAACCGCCGAGCCCGCCACACCGATAACAAAATAAACTGGGTGCATCTCCGTCCAAACACCCACCTGCGCCAGCAGAACCACCTGCGCAACGCCCAAAACTGAGCACAGCGTCTTAGTGTAGTGGCGGAAGCGAACAGCCATGGACTTAACACCAGCACGGATATCATCCTGCAAGTCCTGGTGCGCATAGATAGTATCATAAATCATCGTCCAAAGGATCTCCACAACCGCCAGCGCCAGCGTCGCAGCCGTGCGCTTATCATCCAGGAACGGATCCGCGACAGCCACAGGGAGTGCATAGGCCGAGATCACGATGGCCAGGGACAGGGGCACACCCAGGATGGCCTGCGGGTAGTGGGTGAAGCGCTTGCAGAAGGGGTACAGACCGTACAGTGCGCCCATGGCGATGGCGTAGGAGCCGCAGGGAGAAGGTAGCGGGTAGAAGAGAGCGCCCAGGATTGCTAGCTGCAGAGCCAAGAAGATGTGCCCCTGCCGCGTGGAGACAGCCCCACGCGCAATGGGGCGCCCGCGGCAGCGATCGACCTGGCGGTCGTATTCTTGGTCGATGTTGTCGTTCCAGGTGCAGGCTGCGCCGCGGACGAAGATGTTCACGACGAAGTAGAAGACCGCCCAGCCGCCTAGCTGCGCTACGGACACTGCCTCCAGGCCTACCAGGCTGGCAGCGTATACCAGCCCCATAATAGAGGGCATGTAGTAGCCGGTGAACCCTGCGAGCCGGTCCAGGCGCATCAGCTGCATGTATGGTACCCAGCTAGCTGAGTTGAAGAGACTGAAGGGGCAATCATTGTGTGCAGGAGGACCATCTGCGGTAGGCTTGCCATTGGAGCTGCTATTGAGGGCCTGAGATGAGAGTGCCATTTTCAGTAGTCTTCGGGCACGGGTGGGAAACGAGGAAAAGAAGAGGAGAGGGCGAAGTGCGAGACTGAAATATTTGGATCGCCTGGGGTCAATTGACCCGCTCATCTCCGTACACATGTGCATATGTACAGCGCTTATTCTGGAAAAGAATACTAATTACACACTACCGGGCACCACTTGATCATATCAACAATGTGTTAATGGATAATATTATTCTGCATGCCGGAGGCAGTAAAGACTATCAGCAACTCGTAATATTGGATGAACGGACAACGTCAAGGTACGCGAGACTGGACAGAAAAGCGGCATGGATCGCTTATGCACATGACCAGAAGCGGGAATTACTATTGCATTCAACGTGATGGGATATCTGTCCGTGTAGACTCCACTCTTTCTCTCTCTTTCTCTCTGTTCTGTCTGTTTGCACTTTAACAGAGGGTAAACTGGGTGAAGTGTCAAGTCAAGTGGCTCACGTTTGATGTGAAGCTTCTCGTTCGACAAGATAAAGACGACCTGATGATTAATGACCTGCAGCCGGAAGCACGGATCCAGAACTGCTCTAAGAGTGGACTTGGACACAGTCAAGGGAGCCGATGAGCAAGACGTCGTAGTTACCGTACGCACCGATAAACGGTACCAATGAGTCAATTTTGCTATTAGACATAGCGGTCAGGCATAAAAACAGTGGGTACAAGGCAACACGGACACTTCAGAAAGGGTTCGGGGATAGTGCGTCCATGGATCGTTAATCTGCTACTATTGTGCACTTGGATTACGCATACTTATTCAAATCAAACTCTAACACCTCACTACCTCAAATTGTCATCGTCTCAACAGACACTTACATTAATACCAAGGATATTGGTTCCAACTACGTTTCCAATTCTGGAGGCTTGCTTATACTACGTATGCAACCTTCCAAGATATGACACAAACTTATACTGAAAATAGTCACCAACAGAAGAGATGGACAATACGAACCTGGGAAGGTTGATCATAGCTTACTATACGGTCAGGGCCACGCCTATCCCGTGCCATGTGTATTGGCAGATAAAGGTCTACGCATATACTCTCAGGGAGCATTAGGGGAAGCTGGGGAGAGCAGAACTGTTGAGGAAAGGGAGCATAAGAGAGAGAAAATCAATTAGCCTCTGATTCTTGTAGCTAATCAGAGCATTAGAATATATTAGTAATTACTTATATAATCTAGTAGGCTAATTTCGTTAATTAGTATTATCGTTTTTATCGTTTTTTATACTAATAGATCCTAATTTCGTTATTTAGTACTATTAGAGGTTTAATAGGGCTTAGAGATATTTAGAACTTATTAAATTTAGTAACAGCGAGGGGTTTAGTTAATTTATTAGTGATGTTATTATTGCTACTTATTAGAATTAGTTTTAATATAGATCTTCTTTTTATTTTATAGTTTTATCGATTTAGCTAATTTAGTAAGGAATATAGTTTCTTTCATTACTAAGTTAAATATATATAGTTCTATAATTGTTAAATTAAAGATAATAACTTTTTACTTTATTAATTACTAGGAGATAGATATTATCCTTTAATTAAATAGCTATCGATATAGTCTTAATATAAAGTATTAATATAACTATATAAATTATTCTTACTATTGTTACTAAAGCTATTTAGAGTAATCCTAAGCCTTATTATATCTTGTAGATAGCGAAATATACCCTTAATAACTATAAAGTCTTTATCGCGAGATACTATAGTCCATTGTTATAGTTTATTAACTACTAGGGCGAGGTTAAGACGAGTCTTTATTAATAACTAGCTTATTTTTCTAATATATATTAAATAGGCCTTATTCTCATTACTTTCGCCTAATATTATAAAGGCTTTATAACTACTTAATGTTAATAGCTTATTTACCTTTATATTAGCGAAGCTACTCTCTACTAATATCTTTTTTACATAGGCTTCCTAATTTACTTCGATAGTCCTAGTTCTATTTTAATAGAATAAATTATATCCAAGAAAGTAAGTTAGATTATCTAGTAGCTTAATATTAAAGGATTATATAAATTCAGCGGTAAATTTATTAATATTAGTTTCGATAGATACTTTAATAAGATCGTTAATATATATTAAAATGAAATAATTCTTATCTTTTTCAAATATACAGGCGCCTTTAACTAATAGTATAAAGCCTATAGGCTATTTTATAGAGATAATTCTCTTATTAATTACTATATTAAGGTATATCACTACTATATCAAATTAATAAACTATAAATCCTTTCGCTATAGCTAATAAAAAGAATAGCTTAAATATCTAGTCTAAAATAATAGGAGTATATAAGATATTAAAATTAATCCTATATCGCTATCGGTTACTATAGAAAATCTAATACACACAATATTTAGTAATATTAGTATTCCGATCCTTTTTAGTATTAAAAACCTATTTAGTAAGCAAAATTCTATTATACTTTAATATATTAATTAGGGTCTAGGTATTTATTACCCCTAGTTTCTATAATTAGTTCTATATTACCTAAAGCTATTTGTTACTTTTAGGACTACTTATTATTTTTAAATAGGTCTAAAGGATAATAATATTATAGAACTTTTTTGGGTATTGTTAATTATAATAAGGCCTATACTAAATTAATTATCTATATTAAATACATCTTTAACGGAAAATACACTAGTTATAACTAAGAGTCCTATCTCTTTCTATTTTATACCTTTTATTTCCTAATCCTCTTTTTTAGAATAAATTAACTAAATAAAATAACGGGGTATAATTATAGAAGGGTCTTCACGATCTCTTAATAACGATTTTACTTCTTATAAGGAAGTAGATTCTATTATTATTTACTAGTTTTAAGGTCCTAAATTTAGAAAATATAGCTATTATCTTTTTTATACTAATAAGATAGTTAATCTAAATATATAGTTCTATCTTCGCTAATTTAATTCGTTATTTAAAAAGGATATTAATATAAGCTTTTATATATTAGCTATATAGAAAGGTTAAATTAACCTCTATTAGTCTTAATAAATCTAAACTCTTTTCCTATATCTATATAAAGGCCTACTTTTCGCCTAGTTTTTATATCTTATTTAAGATATAGTATACTATAGTAACTACTTTGGTCTAGAGAGTAATTAGGGCCTTTATATTAATAATAACTAAATATATTAATAATCTAAGAAAGAGATAGGCTCAATGAATTAGATATCTATATATACTAAATTAAGTACCTTCTCTATTTACTAACGAATATGATAAGAAATAATCTTCTTTAATTTAGCTAGTCCTTAGACCTTATAATTAATATCTCGCTGTTAGCGATATTAATATTAATTAAATCCTTCTAATTAGTTCTCTTTTTTAAGATATTAATTTATTTTATATAGCTAATAACATTTAGTTATCTGATAGATTATATAATATTAAATCTATATTATTATAGTTCATATAGTCCTTCTAACTCGCTTTACTAGTAACCTATAAATTATATTTATATTCTAGATTATAGATATGAAGAAAAATAATATAATTAACTAATCTATTATTCTAAAACAGGCTAATATAAGTAGTTTTAGTCTCTATAGTAATCGCGTTATTCCTTTTTACTATTCGTTAGAAATAAAGGGTCTTATAACGTTAATAAGGTTTAAAATCGATAAGATATATAGTATCTCTATAGATATAGTAAGAAATACTAATATTAGCAATCTAATTAGTATCTTCTTTACTCATCGGTTTTATTTTACAAATTATTTTAATTAGCTTTATTTCAATAGCTATTCTATTATAATATAATATATTTATAATAATATCCTTTAGTTAAAAGTCTTTATTCTCCTTCTAAGATTATTAAACCTATCAATAAAAAATCTAAGAAGGCTTATAGCTAATCTAGATATTATCTCTAGGAATGTAATTAATAAATCGTTATTTAGGGTAAAGATACTAATATTGTTATAGGCTATAACCTTTTTATTTATAATAAAAATAGTAACCCTATTTATTTTATTACTTTTTAGTATTATTTAATTAATATATCTAGTCTATAATACTAATTTCTTTTAGTAGAAACCCCTTCTTATCTATTCTATTATTAATCGAATCCTAGTTAGATAGACTTATATTATAGTTAGATAGGTTCTAGTTATAGTTAATTCGATTCGCTTTTTAGTTACTATTTCTTACGAAATTAACCTCTTATTTTATATGTATACTAGCTAGTTGTTACGCACTGGTCACCTATGGATGTTAGCTGGAACCTGAAGGTATACTTCTCTCAAGATACTAAGACACGTGGGTCTTTCTAGTTATACTAGAAGGCCAAGGGTCTCTTAGTATCAACGATATCTAGCCTCGCAACCGTACTATTGTCTTATTAGTTAGGCCTTATATAGGCTTAGGTCTGTTGAGGTATCGAGGAACGGTTAAGGTGAGGGGTATTTAGTAATAGAAGTACCGAGGGTGTTTCACTATTAGAGGGGTTATCTTGAGAGGATCATAGTATAAACGAGACAATCTGAGTTGAACTTATAACTAAGGTTAATAATATGAGTTAAACGCGAAGAGCTAGATACGCGATAAACGAGTATCCTTATATATCCTTCGCCGAGTATTCTATACCCCCGTTTATAGTATACTATATACGGGTATATAGTAGTCCTATCGATATACTATCCGATATACTATTCCTTAGCAATAGATCGCGGTATATTATCACGTAACCTATACCCCTATTATCCTATATCATCACCGCGGGGTTAGTTAGCTCTGGTTTTCTCTTGTACCTCTACTAGTGTAAGTAAGGTGGCTTGGTTTGTAATATTATCTCCCTCTCTTCTAGATTTTTGTCCTCGAAAAGTCCTTTAAATTCTCGGTATCCCCTTTAGGTGCGTTCTCACGATATTGCCTCGTCGTGTCCCCCTATATTACCATTAAACCGAAACGTAATAAATACGCTGATAACGCTCGTTTAGGTAATAGGATTAAACGAACTAGTC